GCACACATGTATATTTAAACTCGCAGAGCAGCTCCTCTGCTCCTTAGTTTAATCTAGTTGAGTTACACCACCTCTTGCTTGTAGCTTGAGCATGCCGACCGTGACATAAGCTAAGTATTCTTGCATAGTATAATATATATATAGATAATTCTAGAGCTAGCACTAGCACTAGCAGTTGTCTCTAGTCTAGTCTAAACCTCTATAAGCAAGAGCAGGCTACGTGGTTAACTGTGCCTACCTTGTTACATGTTACGCCTGTTCCTTTCACCGTCTAATACTGCCACGCTATGCCTAATACTGCTACCTAATATCTTTAATTTAATTGTTTTAGCATTAAAGCTCTAGTTGTAGAGCTGCAGCTTGTGTAGTTTGTTGCCTCTGCAGGAATTTCTTAGAGTGCTAGGGAGCTCTAGCGCTGCCTCTGCCTCTGCCTCTCTATCGCCGCAAAGATTAATGTAGTACATGTAATACCTTAACAAGTTGTTTTGCTTACACAACTGCTAGTTTAGCTTCTTTAACTAACGTACCTAACGGGTTGGCCGGCCACTTTTGCCAAGCCCCCACTAAAACCACCCTATTCTCTCGTAAAACAGCCCACTTTAGCCTTGTATAGAGTAATACAACACAAGATATTATTTAGAGTCTACTTCTACTACTTGCTTACATGTACGCAAGTTATGCCTAGTCTAATTGCACCGCCCGCATTGCCTTTAACTTAGCTTACCTCCTTTAGCGCGCACCTGCGTCTTTAGCTTCTTCCTATCACTACGCGCTCTAAACTCCTTTAGAGCAGTTAGACAAGCCCTATCCTTAACTATTAAGGTCTCTTCTCCCTAAATCTGCTTCCTTTTATGCGATCTACGTCGCGTGGCAGCCTTATTTGCCGCTTAAAGCTCTGTAATCTTATAGCCCACCCTGTTGCGTTAATGCCCTAGATAACTGTTGTCTACTCCCTATTACCTTGCTGTATTGCCTTTAGCTGTCCTTGTCTCTCTAAAGCTGTAACAACTGCTCTAGTTAATATCTAGCCTATTATAAAGCCTAACTTGTTAATGTAAAGATGGGATGGTAAGTAGCACGGATAGCACTGAGAGCAAGCTTTCGGAGAAAGATAGGAGTGTATTGTAAGAGAGACGAATCGCTGCCAAGCTTCGCTTGTCAGGATTCATGCTTATATACGAAGCACAGGTCATACGACCTCCAAACAGGTCAGGTGAGGCCATACTGGCCCGTTCTGGGACATCCGGCCTTACAGTTAAAGTTATACCTGTCTTTATCCTAGATACTGTACTTAGCTTTTATGTTAGCTACTAGGCAAAACTAGCTCTAGATAACCTCTAGATCCTCGCAGAGCGCTCTCTTATAATTGTACTTGCAATTAAACTTCATTGTAAACTTAGGGCAGTGCTTAACCCACATACTGGTCTAGTTTAAGCTAACCTGGCCTAGATTGCGCTCTGCGGGCAAGGAATTAGCCATATTAGCTACAGCTGCGAGCCTAGGGGGAAATCTGCGCGTAATAAGCTTAAGTATGTACTTAACAACTACCTCCTCCTTAAGCTTAGTTAGATTCCTTAATTTAGGCTAGCATTCTGCTTGTAAAGGCTGTCTAGCGCGTTAATTGCTTAGTGTTGTGTGAGAGACATTATAGATAGCTGCAGCGCGTTG